TCTTGGCTTCTCCTCGAAGCTTCTCCTTGTATTCTCCTCGAAGCTTCTCTTGGCTTCTCCTCGAAGCTTCTCCTTGTATTCTCCTCGAAGCTTCTCCTTGTATTCTCCTCGAAGCTTCTCCTTGCATTCTCCTCGAAGCTTCTCTTGGCTTCTCCTCGAAGCTTCTCCTTGTATTCTCCTCGAAGCTTCTCTTGGCTTCTCCTCGAAGCTTCTCCTTGTATTCTCCTCGAAGCTTCTCCTTGTATTCTCCTCGAAGCTTCTCCTTGCATTCTCCTCGAAGCTTCTCTTGGCTTCTCCTCGAAGCTTCTCCTTGTATTCTCCTCGAAGCTTCTCTTGGCTTCTCCTCGAAGCTTCTCCTTGTATTCTCCTCGAAGCTTCTCCTTGTATTCTCCTCGAAGCTTCTCCTTGCATTCTCCTCGAAGCTTCTCTTGGCTTCTCCTCGAAGCTTCTCCTTGTATTCTCCTCGAAGCTTCTCTTGGCTTCTCCTCGAAGCTTCTCCTTGTATTCTCCTCGAAGCTTCTCCTTGTATTCTCCTCGAAGCTTCTCCTTGCATTCTCCTCGAAGCTTCTCTTGGCTTCTCCTCGAAGCTTCTCCTTGTATTCTCCTCGAAGCTTCTCTTGGCTTCTCCTCGAAGCTTCTCCTTGTATTCTCCTCGAAGCTTCTCCTTGTATTCTCCTCGAAGCTTCTCCTTGCATTCTCCTCGAAGCTTCTCTTGGCTTCTCCTCGAAGCTTCTCCTTGTATTCTCCTCGAAGCTTCTCTTGGCTTCTCCTCGAAGCTTCTCCTTGTATTCTCCTCGAAGCTTCTCTTGGCTTCTCCTTCTATTCAGTTTCAGGTAGTCACTAGATCATAGCGTGCGAGACAGACTCTGCCCTCGCAGACTACTACATCAGGGGGCTGTGAGCGCGTTTCCCCGCCCGTGTTTATTATTAATTATTAATACTAAACTTTATTTAATGAGGGATTACATTGATTACTTAATATTATTCTTTCCAATGGCTCTCGATGTACAATCAAATCTTATTGAAAGTGACATTGGCAATGAGTAGTATGCTTACGACACAGTGGCGCCGCCAGCTCGATAATTGGGGGGGGGTTCTGCATTATTAACTTCTTTTGAAATCGATTGTTTTTATGGTCTATGAACACGAATATATGAATATTGCCCCCTCCCCCAATTATCGAGCTGGCGGCGCCACTGATTCGACACAATTGCAACGGAACTTATAAATGTGATCCACTTCATAACTATTCAATTGAAGAAAGTAGGTTTTGAGCTTCTTTTTATAGAAATTATTAAATTGAGTGATTTTCAATATTTTAAAAAATTAATTTTTTAAAAAAGCTGTTTTCCATTACGACCGCTTTGCCTGCGCTGGCGAAGCGAATAAGCGATCTCGTTTGGGCATGCGGCAGCAGGTTTCTTGTGTCCGAGTCCACTCTGGTGCTCGCGGACACAAATCAAATTAAATCAATTTTATTGACACTATGTTAATATATATACATTATTAATTATAAGTAATTCTTTTTTAAGTATATGAAAAGAAAAAAGATAAAATGAACGAAAATATTTAAAACGTGCACCACCGTCTACGTATGAATAACTAATCGGTTTGAGCTAATCATTTAATTACATTTTGGTATTATGCAATTTTTATTTATTTATTTATTTTTTCTAAATTGTTTGAAAGGGAATAAAAGGGGAAAAAAACACGCGATTGAAGTTAAAATGTTTTCAACTTTCCAGGCGAACTCGCGCGATCGTTAACTCACATATATCAATGACATCACTCAGATTTCCTTTCTTTGTAGATTTTTCGCATCCAGAATCTCTTTTTGTACTTCCGGAGTGTCCATTGTTTTGTAATTTTTAGAATTCCCCGAGATATTCCGTCTTTTAAAGATCTTGATCTTTAAAAGGGGAAGATGATATTCCCGGACATGTCCCCCCTTTTAATTAAAGAATAAAGATCTTTAAAAGGGGGAATATATGTCATTATGATATTTATCATGAGTAATGTGATAAAAATAAAAATAGACGCAAGTTATCAAGTTAATCAGCTTGATCATTAACATCGCCAAATACCAAGTATACGGATCATATAATTGACAAAATCCCAACAAAATAATCATATAGGCTATTCATCACAAGCAAATGGCAATTGTAATTTATTTAAAAATACGTAAATTCGTACAAACACGGATTTGCGTCGATGCGCTTCAAATACAGATCTTTATATCAAACCACTAAACTAAAAAAACCTGGAGCGCTGCCTCCAAATTTCTAACTACGTGGAAAAATAATCGCCCATTAAGGGGGCTGGGTAATCTACGCAACAATATACTTAAACTGAATTATTGCAAAGAGAAAGTAAGTTTCTATGAAGAGATCGACCAAGGTTCTATACTTCGATAGTCTGATAGATCAAACATCTTTTGTCGTCGACGCATTCTCACTTTCAATGGGCAATGTAACTTCTGCGGGTCTTTCCATTGTACTATTAGTATTATTCCTACTCTCCACTCCACTTCCGGTCGCATCACCTTGTGGTAGGTTGCCCAACTTGTTTGAGAGACCTGGAGCTGGCTCCCCTTCACTTGTCAGGTTTTCATATTCAGCAGTAGTGTCAGTCTCTTGTGATGAACTTGCGACTTCTCCTGAAGTATTGTCGCCTTCCAGCTGTCGAGGACCGCGGAAACGTTGCGGTAAAAATCCCAAACTGGCGTACTGATGAAAGCCTAGACAATTCGAATTTCAACATGTAGATCAGTAGTTTTCAATCTAGTTACAAGGTTGGTGTGGCCAGAACCACTCAACTGATGGCTCTGGGTATGAGATTGAGTAATTTCAGTTGACGTTGATTTCATCGTTCCTGTTCGCAATGTCACAAAATAACTGACCAGAAATATTAAAATTTATACCAAACATATTCAGTCCAGTCAACAATGATGAACATATAGTGTGGAAATTCGATAAACTTTAACACGTCTATAATGTGCTAGGGCTTTATATCGAGACGACTTTGCCGTGCACCCAGGACCGTAGCGGCTAAAGAAGGGCGGGGAGGGGGGCGTGGTATCGCATTTGCCAACAACATTTCAGTCGCTTATTTTTTCCCAAAATTGTTGGCGGGGGGGGCGGGGGGAGGGGTCGAATATTAGTCCGGACATACCATTTTTCACAAACTTTTCCATTCTTAATGTATCTTAATTTGTTAACTTTTTTCGCCAATTTTCGTAAATTTAGCAAAATTTTTGCTATCAGCTATTAATATTCGCGCAAAGAAAAACAGCAAAAAAATACCTTTAAACTTCAGCAAGAAACAACTGGCACAAACAGACAGCTGCCGAAAGAAAATTGGTGCAAGCTGATCCCCACGCCCCTGACGGTGACCTCCCCCTCCAACACTTTTCTAACTGCCTATTGAAGAAGACTGATACTAAATAATGTACTCTCTAATATTTTTGTCCTAATGACTGGTTAGAACAATTTATCTTTAAATTGGAACAAATTAGAACTTAATTGCAGTAATAAAGTTACGTGGTGTTTCCACAAACAGAATTAAGTATAATAAATTAGAATTTGACCCCACCTGCTTTTCGACGTCGTCGAATGAAAGTAAAACATGCCAGTGTTACGATGATCACAAAAACAGCACCAACAACGGTAATACCAATCAACTGAGAGTCGAAGTGGACTGAATTTTTTGAAACATCTTTGTTTACTGGAATGGAAATTTTATTTATCGATTGCTCAGTTTTGTTGCGATAATAGTGTTGACAATTTTGGTGATTGACTAGCTCTGATTGGATTTAATTTCCCTAATTGTTTAGTAGTCAGAGCTTTATGAAGTAAAACTCAGCTTTGAATCTGTTAGGTGCAGAGATTACATGATAAACATGTGATATGAACCTTGCAATGTTTCGTTAATTCAAGGGAAGTAAAATTAAGATTTCCAGCATAGAAATAATAAGCAATGTTTAATTTACCATCGCTTACAACAGTTCGTCCATGGGCAAAAAAATTTATATACCATATAGGGGGTGGGGCACCAACAATTTCAGAAAGACTTTGAATGATATCTCCATAACCGTGTAACATAGCTGTAGCAATAACTTTTAACAATGAAAGTATCGTAGGCTACAGAATTAAGCTGTATATATTGTAATAAATTTAATGTCTACAGCCACGAACGGTAGTTATAATTTGGATACCTACTTTATGTGGTGGTTACTTTACGTATTTTGAGCATTGATATATTTTATTATAAGTTACTAAGGCCAGTGTCGAGCAAGAATATGGGATGGTTCTTACATGCTAAAGACGAAATCTGAGGTTCGAGTGCGCATCCAAATGAAGCATTCAGAAACAAATTGCAGTTGAATCATGACATGTAGCTGAAGAATTGGAACATGCATATCAAAGTATTGAGCTGTTACATCATTATTTGTGTGTATAGCCACAATAATTGAAAATTAAATAATTTTGTAGAGGCATAGTTTGTCTGCTGTTTTGAGCAAACTATAAAGCTAAGAGAATATATAATATATCAACCGTGCGGAAACTAATTGATCATTTTGCAACTTTTGCATATTCAAATGATGATTGGAGAGTTGAATATTTTGATATGCATATTCTTCCAGTCTCAGAAACATCTTATAGTTCAACTTCAATTTGTTTTTAGCGAAGAATCCGTCATTTGGATGCGCAGTGGGAACTCCAATTTTGTCTATGGAGAAGACATTTTTGAACTGATAGTAAGTCCAGTATAAAATGGTAAGTTTGTAGAAAACTAGTTTAGTAATTTTAATTTAGTTAACGCTTTAGCCTTACTTGGACATGGGGTTCTGCTACAGTGTCTAAACTCAGATGAGTTTCCAAGTCCACTGCAGGTATGTCCGCCGTATTTTGGTTTAGGATTATTACAAAATCGTCGCCATATTTCCACTCCATCACCACATGAAACACTGCATGGAGCATTCAAAGTCCAGTTGCTGTAAGCACCGTTAACTAAAGTCAATAAAAAAAATACTCAGGAAAATTAAAGGTCGCTTTGTGCTGAGAATTCTTTTTTATTAAAAAGCAATTGACTTACCAGGACACAGCTTTGCTGAACATGGTCTGTACTCAACAGGTTCTCCTAAATCACTACAGTTTCTTCCACCATACTTTGGTTTAGGATTGTTACATTCTCGTGTCCATCTTGCAGAACCTTCACCACAAGTTACATTGCACGTACTGTTTAATGACCAGTTGCTGTAACTACCATCAACTTGCAAAAAAGAAAAACATTGAGCTTTTGTTGATGCACTTTAATTTAAAACAGCCTGGTGAAAATTTTCTATTTAAACTAAAAGTAACACTATTTGGAGTGACTTAGTTTTTCTAAAAGTTCCTAGTTATTTTATTTGATATGTAATTGCGAAGGCCGCAGCTCAAAGGTAAACTAGGGCGTCTCTAGCTGCCCCCATACGACCAAGGTGTTTAAATATTTTTCAGATAGTTCAAAAACAAACTAAAGTAATTTATATTACGACAATATACCTGGCATACACATCGGGATATCACAGTACAATATTACCATATGTCCATATACCTTGGTATACATTTTGGGACATTTTGGGATATCACAGTAAAATATTGCCACATACCTGGTATACATTTAGGGATATCACAGTACTCCCATCTCTTGTTCCTGTCTGTAGTAAAACACCAAGGTCGTTGTCCTGAGTTCTTAGGATTTCGACAATAATTCTTGGCGTTATTTAGTTCTGGATATGTTTTGTTCATGGTATGACGATGTGGACATTGTTCTGTCCATGATTGACATGGAATGCCTGAGGCTGTCACAGATATGTTGCCATGGTAACTGCTGCCGTTTAAGTACAGACAATCTGTGTGGAAAGACGATTATTAGTCTAGATTCATTGTTATAATTTTGTGATTCAACATTGTTTACAGATATTGTTATACATTGTGCATAATTGTATACTTTATCAAACTTTATTTATACACTGGATGAGCCTTATCAGTTCTAAACTGTTCTCCCTTGAGGTCCAGAAATAGCCGTCTCGTCACAGAATAAGGATCTACAGGGTGTATTAAAAAAATTACACAGTTGGAAAAAGTTCACTAAAGTCAGATGCGCGCGACCGATTTGCAAAAACGTTTAGTAAGCCTATGTACTTTAACGTTCTCTGGTACATCTAGCACTTAAAATGCTAGCGTTTTAGAGTAGGAAAGTTGTAACTAAAAACCAAAAAAAAAGACCTTGCGCAAAAACGTTTTCATCAGAAACAAAATTTAATCACACAGAGTCAAAATATGGATTGACTTGCACAAGCTATCAAAGTTTCAAGAAATTTGGTGTACGCGTAGGCCAACGCGAGATCTTCAAAACCTGGATTTTCTCCCATTTTTTTTAGTTCAAACGCGATTTCTTTGCATGATTTCAAATTAATCTTATGCATGCTCGAACGTTTGCATAAATTACAGTACGAAATTTGCAAGCCAATTCCCAAAGGTCTTTTTACAAAATATTTACATGCAGTATTTATTTACAAACAAAATCAATCTTCAACATAAGAGAGCATCCTCGTTCCCAGGGCTTCTCGGCTGCCTGCGTTGCCGTAAGCCCTGGGACAAGCCGAGGCAGAAGTGATTTGATTGGTCGTTGGAAATAGAGTGAAATATGAAAAGTTTATTCGTCAAGTGGATGTTTATATTTGCAATATGGCTGCCTTCAAGGAGTGCGCGTTCGAAATACCACGGTTAATAGAATTAGATGGTTAGGCTAGCCGGCAAACTTCAAAGGAAGCGGCAAATTATGTCGAGAACCACTTTTATTTGTGTCACGTGACGAGGAAAGGGGGTGCTTTGTGATGAGTGATTAGGAAAACATATGGGCGAGAACATAATATGCCAACAAAAGATCATATTTCAAAACGCTATAGGGCTTCTGAGATCAAGGTGGAAATTGAAACAGAAAGCCAACAAACATACGAACCTATTTTGAACGTTGGAGATGAAAATATCGAAGAAAGCGAGCGTCGTGAACAGTTTATGATCGAGGCATAAGAGGACGAAGACATTTATCGCAAGACGATGCAACCGCAGAGGATTTATACAACGTTGATGTGTCTGTTGCTCTAACGGGAATACAGTTAGACGAAACAGACGCTGAATTCACCGAAGCTATACAAGAAATTGATGGCGAGAGGGTTTTTCCTTTTAGTCAGTGAGAGATATTAGTGTGCAAGTCTATAAAAGGGAGAGACAAAACTCGTGCTGCGTTGACTATTAGAGGACGTGGTTTGATTATATTACATCGATTCAGGTCAGTTTGGCTACTGTTTCCTCCACTGATGCTTTGTTCGATGCTTTGCATGGCCACTTTACACAACATTCTGTCCAAGGAACAATCAAGATAAACTTTTAGAATGTTTTTATACGGCTTGATTCCTCGTTTGTGTGAGCAGCTATAAAATTGTGAGAACTATAAAGTAGCAAATATATTCCTGAGCATATTTGATCGGATTTTTATAAAACACTACACCAGCAAAATGTCGGCATTGTTGGAAAATGCTGTGATTTTTCGTGAAGTTCAACCCTCGAGCTCTGCACAGAAACTGTACGGAAAATATAGTTAAACTTTATTTAACAGTCGGAGCATTTTCCTACACCAGAGACTTTATTACTATTAAAGATGCGGTACAGTCCAATCTGTGCATGTGCACAAAGGAGCCCTCTTTTTATTTACAAACAGTTTATTTAGGTTTTTATTTCATTTTATGTTCTTGCAAAGCTTGATTGTTGTCTCTTGATAATTTCTAGAATCATGAAAATATAACTAGTTGTGAAATAAAATTCAATATTTTGGATACCGAAATGTAAACAAAGCCTTTGTTTACATACGGACTGTACCGCATCTTTAAAGTATAGCATTAATTAATGAAAGGCAGTCAACGAAAAGGCATTGAGTGATTGAGAAAGGGGATGCGATAACATATAAAACTTGATAAACTTCTTAATTGTTAAAGATTGTCAGAAGTTCAGAACACTGTTTCCATAATTCAATAATTTTATCATATATTATACAATAATTATTGTATATTGTTTTTAATTAAACCTTCTTGGCTGGTCGAAATAGAAGTGATTTGATTATGGTAATCTGCCACCATTCAGTACAGCCCTGCCTCACAGTAGGCAGATCACACCACACTAAGGGGACGATTACATGGAGCACTTTTAACCACAGGTTTGAACTCAACCATGTTTACATAACTGGGTTGAATATTTTGCGATTACATGGACAATCTCATCCCCAGGGTTGAAATACTATACATTCCTAGAAGTGAAAACAAAAACCAGCCTCATCAAATGCTTGAGTAACTCATGAATAATTTCAGCCCTGGGTTGAAACGATTACATGATAAAATTTTCAACCCAAGGCGAAGTCCAACCTGCATGGGGTTGAAATTTAACTCTGCTAGCTGAAGCAGGGTTGAACTTGGCCCTGAATTGAAAATTTATGAAATCATGCATTTGATTTTGATAGCATTTTGTATTACAGACAAGGGCGAAGGTTCAGCCCAGGCCTCGTAGGTCCCAACTGTAGGCCCAACTGTAGACCTGTAGGAGACAACCCCAGGGTTGAAAAAGCTCGTTATGCTCCATGTAATCAGCCCCTAATTAACCCATTAAAACTTTGATGTACCCTGTTTTGACTTTATTTCTGTTGAATACCAGATAATATAATATCATGGCCTTTAATTCACCAATCTTGGTATGAAAATCGAGTGACCACAAAAAATATTTACATGCAATATACCACTTTTGGAACAAAACAAGCATAGACCATTTTCATATGATAGTGAAAAACTTAAAGATTTTTTTTCATTTTAAATTGCTTATTGAGTCTTCGACCTCCTAGGTTATCTTGAATTTCTTCTACTTTCCATATTTGCATATTATCTAAATCTGCCATCAGTTTTAATTTCAATACTGGACACACCAGCCCCTTGGCTTGGGAACTTCGTGTTTATTGTAGGTAAATTTTCAGTAGTACGCTACCAGTTATAAAATCTTTCGTTTGGGGACTACAGAAGATAGATATTTAATAGACATGGGATATGTAAATATGCAAATACAATGCCCTCTTTGTTTACATCTGATCACACAAGCGCATGCATAAAATGCAAAATTTACAATGGCTTCAAATGACGCTCACAAAGGAAAATCTTATTTGTTTCTGAAGATCTACCGTCTTTTCTCTAGTCCTTTAAAACAATTCGAAGCCATTCTTCGCGAGCATTTCTCTTCTTGTTCACCATCGGCTGTAGTCTCCTACGCAGTCACTACATCGGCTGCGTCAACAACAGGGATTTTAAAAATTGCAAATTTACGCGTTCTGCTGGTCGGACAGTCATACAAAGCACAATTAGAGCCAACCATACTGTTCAATATTACTTCAAACGTTTAACCGTATCCTGACATATTAAAACAACGGCAAAAATACAATTATCCAAACGCGGTGTATAAACAAAGCCTTCGTCCCCTCGATCACAAACTGTTCACGACGCTCGCTTTCTTCGATATTTTCATCTCCAACGTTCAAAATAGGTTCGTATGTTTGTTCGCTTTCTGTTTCA